GAATTCACCAGAGCCAGAGCGGGGAGCAGAGCAGGCAGAAGGACCGAAGTACACTGCTGAGGGGAGCAGCGGGTGGTGCCACAACTTCTTGATCCATTCATCTATTTTGCAGTATTTAGGTTGTTTTCATATCTTTGCTATTGTAAGTAGTGAACGCACAATTCCTTATCCTGCATTTTCCACTTACGGTTGCCTTCTCTACATATTTTCACATCATCACAAACTTTTCAAAGATATGATTTGAAGTTAAAATTTTACTGAAATATAAAATACAGAAAAGTGCATCTATCAGGAGTACAGTTTGATAAATTTTCACAAAATGAACACACCTGTATATCCAGCACCTAGATGAAAACAGACAATATTATTAGAACCTCAGAAGTGCCCTTGTGCCCCCTGCCAGGCATTCCTCATACCAGAAAGGCAATGCCATCCTGACTTCTAACATGAGTGTAATTTTTAGTGGCTTTGCAACTTTATTTTATATAACCATTCCCTATTTTTCTGATGTCTCTTGAAAACGCTTTTCTTTTATAAACTGTGAGACTCTTTGCGCATGTATTTTTGTTCACATCTCTATTTCTTTTGACTAGATTTCTAGAGGTGGAATTTCTGGGGCAAATGGTATGAACTTTTAAAGTTTTTTTTTTATTATTCTACTTGCCTTCCAGGAAAGTTGTAACAATTTATAACCCGGTAGGACAGGGTGTGAGAGCTTTTGCCTCTCTGTCCATGATCTGCTTTTGAGGAATATCAGTTCTTTTTTAATCTTCACCAATTTGATAGGTAAAAATTATCCAGTTGATATACTTCATATGTTTTATCATTTGTAGTGAGAGAGGACAAAGCAGTTTTTGACCAATTTCTTTTCCGGTGAATTTTCTCTCCCTGCCTTTGTGAAGGTCTCTGTTAGGGTCACTGTGTTTTTCTTAACAGTTTATAAAAGCTCTTTATGCAATAAAGTTAATGGCTCTTTGCCATACATGTGAGTACTTTGTATTTCTGTGATTTAATTTGTTAATTATAGATATTTTTACATGGGAGTTTATGTAGTAAAATCTATACGGTGAAAAAAAATCTACAGGGTGTTTTTTTCCTACTGCTTTTCAGCTTAGAAAATTCTCCTAAGTCCACATTTCAGATGCATACTTATCTATATTTTATTCTAGGGCTTTTATGATTGTTTTTTTGTTTTGACCTTCAATTAATTCATCTGGAATTTCAGAAGATGCATGTAGTGGAGGCTCAAATGTTAATGGGCATCACCCGGGTTGTTTCTCACAAACCCAGATATTCCTGAGCCCTACCTGCTGAGATTTTGATTCCTTAGGTGTGGGATGGGGCTCAGGAACCTTAATTTGTTAGTCACCCCAGCTGATCACTTTGCAGATTGGCTTCTGATATTTTTGAGAAACTTGCAGAATGCAGTGTAGCCTGCCATGTACAGAGACTTAGCACCTCCCTCAGCTCCCAGGTCACTATACCCTAAAATCCATCCTACACACAACTCCCAGAGATCTCTTCCAGAAACATCTCATGAAAAATTCTTTATTAACTGCCTATCATCAATGGAAACAGTTTAACCCTGTCATCCCAGCACTCCCAACCCTTCATCATCTTTACCCATGGATCTAATAACCCAGATCACCAATGACTTGGGCATCACTCTCCCATCCCCCCAGTCCTGCTCCTTTGTGGGCCTGAGACACACAGACAGTTTTTCTTGCTGCAGCCCCTACCACTTCTTAGATTATTTAAATCCTATGCATTCAACGCAATTCTCTTACTTCCCTGAGTACCAAGGTGACACGTGCCTATCTTAGAATTACCAAAGTCCTTTTTGCTGTGCAGAAGCTCTTTAATTTGATGTACTCCCAGCTGTTGATCTTTGCCTTCACTATCACTGCTTTGGGTGATGTGTCTGTAAAGATGTCTTTGATTTGCATATCACGTAGTGTTTCGCCTATATTTCCTTGTATTTCTATGTATTTTATGGTTTCAGGTCTTATGTCTAGTTCTTTAATCCATTTTGAGTTGGTTTTTGTGTATGGTGTGAGGTAGTAGTCAAGCTTCATTCTTTTGCATGTAGCGACCCAGTTTCCCCAGCACCATTTATTGAACAAACTTAAAGAGCTTCTGCACAGCAGAAGAGACAATAACAAAAACAAAGAGAAACCCCACCGACTGGGAGAACATTTTTGCACACAACACTAATGATAAAGGACTGATCACAAAAATCTGCAAAGAGCTGATGAGACTCAACAACAACAAAGAAAATGATCCTGTCAAAAAATGGGCAGAAGAGCTAAAAAGAAACTTCTCTGAAGAGGAAATGCAAATGGCCAACAGGCATATGAAAAAATGTTCAACATCACTTGTAATCAGGGAAATGCAAATCAAAACTACCATGAGATACCATCTTACACCAGTGAGAATGGCACATATTAAAAAAACTAGCAACAACAAATGTTGGCGAGGGTGTGGAGAAAAAGGAACTCTCCTGCACTGCTGGCGGGTGTGCAAACTGGTCCAACCACCATGGAGAGCTGTGTGGAGATTTCTTGACCTACTAAACATAGAGCTTCCATAGGATCCAGCAATTCCACTCCTAGGTATTTACCCAAAGGACACAGAAACATCAATTCCAAAGAACACCTGCACCCCTATGTTTGTAGCAGCACTGTTTACAATAGCTAAGCTTTGGAAACAGCCCAAATGCCCAAAAATAGATGACTGGATCAAGAAGATGTGGTACATATACACCATGGAATATTACTCAGCATTCAAAAAAGATAAACACATGCAATTTGCAGCAGCATGGATGGAGCTGGAAGGGATCATGCTCAGCGAAATAAGCCAGAAAGAAAAAGAAAAATACCGGATGGTCTCACTCATAGCAGGAATCTAGAAAACTTAAATAAGGGACCAGGAAAATGAATAACTATAAGAAAGTGAAAATCAAAATCAACAAACAACTATGAACCAGAGACACTCTATGGCAGGTGGGGGGCGGGGAGGGGAGGGATTGGGGTCAAAATAAGGGGGTTGCAATTGTATGGGGAATATAAAAATAAAATTTATAAGATAAAAAAAAAGAATTACCAAAGTCCATTGGTGTGTATTGTGATGTTGTGAATTTTGTCTTCCTGTCAAGTCACATAATATCAGGAGCCTGGTCTGTGTGTTTATCCCTCCTAGCTTCTAACATAGTACTGGGTGCAAGGTTGCACACACGAAGAACGTGGTCAGTAGGAGTGATTTCAAAGCATGTTATTTCTGAGAGCTAATGTTGTAAGATCTCATATATCTTTTCCTTAGGCCACAATGAGAATGTATGACACATTTTCTAGGGACTTCACTTTGCTGTGATTTGTTTTGCTGATAACAAAGTTAAGCAAATGTCATCTTGATTTCTGCTTTAATTTATTTTAATAATATTGCTTTTTTTTAAACAGCAATGTGTGACTTGTCCACTTATTGACTTTCTGGTTAAAGAGACTAAACTTTTGTAAATATAGGATATTTTTCCTCATACAAATGTAATGATTTCTCTTTTATAGAAGAACATACTTTATCAGATTAAATAAATATGAAAGGGTTAATGGCCAAGTAACTACATTCTAGCTTCCTAATTTCTTTTCTTGCTTTATCCCTCAGGGTTTTGCCTTCTCAAATGACAAACTTGCTTTAAATGAGTTGCTTGGATGCTCAGAAAATGTGAGTGTGGGGATGAGGGAGGATATGTCCTTTGCCTTTCAGTGGACAAAGTGGGATTCAGTTCAGTCCATCAAATATTGATTGAGCTTCTGCTCAAGCTTTTGGAATGGGAAGTAAAAGATTTCCTTTTTGAAAAAAAGTATATATGCATACAGTCTATACAATTCTTTTTGAATGATAATAGCGAACATTTATTGAAACTGTAAAACTTAATCTGTTCTAAGCACTTTGCATGCTTAGAATTAAATAAGAATGCTAGCTTATTTAATCTTTATCACAACCCTATAGGGTAAGTACAATTATTATGGACATTTTTTCAGATGAATAAACTGAGGGACTGAGCAATTAAGTATCTTGCCCCTGTTTACACAGCTTATAAGTGCGGGGACTTGGGTTTGAACTTTGGTGCAGCTGTCTTGATGTTTGCTGTTATTTGAGGTACTGGGTTATCTTTAATTTACTGTTGTACTCACCAGGACTAATGCATTGCATTGCACATAATAGGCATGGTATGATTCGAATAAATGAGTAAGTGAAATATTGACTATGAAGTGCTTTCCATTTAAGCCCAATTTACTATTAAGCATAAAAATTAAGTGTCATTAAACATAGATTCACTTTACTGTAAATTGTATTCTATCAAAGCAAAATTTCTTTTTATAGCACACACAATGTGTGCATCCTCCAATGTTCTCTTACTCATCTCCCCGGGCTCTTAATCTTCTAGAAATTAGAGAAATAATTGTATGTAGTGCAAGAGCTGATAAATGAACGATGGTATCTAACCACCTCCTGAGTTTTGTAGTCGATGGAGAAAAAGTATTTCCTTGAGGTTTTAGGATTCAGAGTCCTGAGTGGGATCCACTTAAGAAACCAGGTTTACCTTGTCATAATGACGTACTACTTTTTTAATGCAATTTAAAATAGAAGGAGAACGAAAATCGGAAAAACCCTTGGCCCAGAATAGTGCAGACTTACAAAAGGTTGCGATTTGAGGAAGCCACCCCATTCTTTGTCTCCCAATCTTGCAAACCGCTAAGGATTTACTGTCTGAAGTTCTACCATTAGAAATTTGTTGTTGTTGTTGTTGAAAGAGTTAAATCTAAAGCACCCCAGATACTGGTAGAACTATTGACACAGTAGTGCGAATTTCTTTGTGGATTTCGAGGCTTAGCCAGATTCACCAATGGGACGGTGAGAAGAGCAGGCTGTGGGTGGGGTTGCGGGGAGGGGCGTGGAGGGCGGGGGGGTGCGTTGTAAACTTGCGGGGAGGAGGGCGGCGGACTATAGGGCGGCGAGTGCTTTTGAGGAAGGTCTCTAGAGAAGAACGCCGGGCAAAGTAGGGCGGGGGCTCCCCAAACCTGCAGCGCGGACCTGGGGGAGCCCCTGGTTTCGCCGCACCTGCCCGAGGCTAGCTGCCGGCGCGTAGCGAATCGAGGCGCCCTGCGCACCAGGAAGTGACTCCCCTACGGCTGCGATCCGGGCCCTTCCCTGGTCTTATTGTTTGCCCACTCAGGTTTGTAAACGGATTTATTGGTTACGAAAGTAAGGGGGGTAATTAGAGTCCGATTTAACACTTACTGTCCAGAAAACTGCTTATTGCACCAAACTGCCCACGGAGCAGGGGATCTGGAAGGCAGGGGGGAGGTGGGGACGGGGACGGGACCGACGCCGGCGGCTCAAGGTCGAGTTCCGCCCGCGGCCGCCGGTGCTCTGGCCTCTCCCTCGCGCCCCGGCCTCCCCGGCCCCGCCCGCGATCAGCGGTTGCCCTTTCTAGTGTTTCCTTCTGTGAACCCTCCCAACAGAACAACTCCCCTTCTCTCCAAGAAGGAGTAGTGGGGCTGGTGTAGGGGTCGAGTGCCGGGCCTGAGGGCTGCTCTCGGGCCGCCGCACTATACCTACTTGCCGGTTTGATTTAGCCAGGAACGGAGTCTGGGGCAGGCCCGCTGAAGGAAGGGTAAACAGGGAATGTAACCGTGACCCTGGCCCGGGAGATAACCTTTGGCCCCAGGGACGCCCTGACCCTGGGCGGCCTGCTCCATTATCTCCCACTTAAACTCTTAGCGGTGAAGCCGGTGGCTCTTCCAGCCCTGGAGACGGTCTTCTGGATCCTGGGCCCCTTTCAGATCCATTCCTGAGGCAGGTCTAGGTCGAAGTCACACGCTTTCCCTACCCCACCCCCACCCCCTTTTACCCAAGCATTTATTTAAAACAGAAAAAACGTAAAATTCTTTAAATAGTTTTGAAATTTTTTTTGGTACACAAATGCCCTCTATGACGTCAAGAAACGAAGAAACATAACTCACTTTGACTGGTGTTGCCATGCTGCCTTGACAAATAAGCACAAAAATTACTAACTGTGATAAAAGGCACTTTACCAGGAGAGATGACTGATGGCATCCTGAAATAGTAGGGTCCTATTTTAGGTCATAGCTGATCATTTAGAGGAAGAAACCTACGTGGATAAGGACCCTCCTGCTGGGGACAGGGAAAGTGAAGCAGTCTTCGTGGCAGTCACCAGTGACAGCACCCACACCCTCACCAAAAAAATGTCTAAAGGTTGTGAAATAGGGAGCTGGAATCAAATTCCTCAGCTCCCCTGTCCCTCCTCTGCCAGCCCCCAGCTGGGCCTGCAGCTTCCTTAATCATTCCCACTTTCTGCCAGCCTGAGGGACAGGGCCCTGCTGAGCCAGCAGCACTCCCTCCCTGCTGTATCTGGACTTCCTCAGTGCCCCCTTCCCTTCCAGCCTTTCTTTATTTATTCTTTGTCTCCTACCTCTTCACTCATTTCCTCTTTCAGGGTTCTGCTTTTTTCCATATCAAATACAGACATTTGTCTCACTTGGAGAGATGTCTATCACATGCCATACAGGTAGGACAGGGCTGGCCTTAAGCTCACCACAGTCCAGCAGATCCTAACACAAAAGATTTTTTTGACATGTGTTATTTTGTTTGGTATACTTTTTTTTTTAAGCGAAGTACCATTGTTTTACCTCCTGTTTTATATTTTGACAGTACAATATTTCTCCCCTCAGGTGTGGTCACTGTAGCTCTCCCGCCACCAAAGCACCCACAATCCTCTGCCATAGTCTGTCATGCCTCCCCCTTGTGAGTTGTTTTTGTAATTTCCCACATACATACATTATTACATCTGACCAGTGTTGCAGGTTGGACACATTGAGGCTTAAGGAGGTGACATGTTGCGAGTCAGAGAGTAAGGAAGGAAGAAGTCCTCTATTGGGAATGGGCCTCCCACCTCCAACTGCTCACACCTAGAGCACTTCACATATATGAGCTCTATTCAATTCTCTCCACAATCCTGAAAGGTAGGTGTTGTCAGTTCTATTTTTGTAGATGGTGACCCTGAGGTTCATAGCATTTAAGCAGCTTGCTCCAAGTGGGAAGCAGAGCTGGGATTAGAACGTGGCTCCAAAGCCCACTCCTGTGAGTTGGGTGGAGGCTGCTGTCATCAACACCTGAACTCTGGGCCAGCTGAAACTTATTCTGTTAGAAATTTGAAGTGTTCCTCAGGCCTTCATGCTGTGACAGTTCTTTTCCTTAGTACACTGTAAGCATACAAATTGGTGTATGAGCTAAATGGTAGCACCAATATCAGCATCCTTTAAGGTACCTATTGGCATACTAATTTCACAGAAGTAGAAGAAACCAGGGAGGAATCTCTGTTCATCAATCTATTACATACATTGGACTTTTAAATATATATCACTGTGAATTAAGGTGTGTCTAAACATTGGGATGAAATCTAAGGTAGAAGGCAAGACCAAAAATGTAATTTCACAGCAGTTCAGGAAGGTGTCTGGCCAAGTCGATTCGCATGTCTTAGGAATACAAAAAAATCACACACAGCAATGATCAGGGACCCTAAGGTAAAATATTTTTAGACAGTAGCACAGAGTCCTGTGTTGGAGCAAGAGGGATTCCTTCCTCTTTCCAAAATGAGGCCCTCCACCTATTCTAAGTCTTCCAGCTTTTGCCTCAGTTACTCCCCCTCTCCCTTCCTCCTGCTCCCATCCTTCTTCGATATTGCTGCTTCCACTCAGTCCCAGGGTCTTTGAGCCCATGGTGACAGTTAATCATGAACACGTACTGAGCCTTTTGCAGGTATTAGACATGATGCAAGAGCTTTACAAACATCATCTCTGTTAAATTTTCTGTGGAGTACTTTTTATTAATTACCTTTATTTAACTCTTACAACCACAATATGAGATAGGTACTATTATCATCTCTGTTTTACAGATGAAGAAAAAGGAAGGTCAGAAGGAATGATTAATTCGCCAGAGGCACCCAGCTAATAAGCGGAGCCAGGGAACTGCCCAGGTCTGCCTGACTCTAGGGGCCACACTCTCAATACCTCAAATCTTCATTTGTCCCTCTTGCTTGTCACTTCCCATTGCCTATTCCTCTTCTTTCTTTGGCTCCAGACTTACTGGCTGAGTCAGTGCCTTCCCGAAAGGCATCTCTCTTGGCCTCCAAGCTCCACCCTATCTTGGTCCTTCTGGGTTAACAACCATCTTCTTGGCTCTTCAAATATTGCCTTTTCTCAGGTTTTGTCAATGGCCTTTTGCTCCCCTCATTCCTCAAAGCTCTCTTGATCTTACAACTTGTGCTTCTTATAATAGACACTTGATCAAATCTCTAGTCCTGACTTCTCCGCTCATTTGTAGTACTGATTCTCTACGAACTTGGTGGATGTTTCCATTTGAGTATGTCCCTACCTTTTCAAACACATGCCTCAAAACATGAATTTGCTTTTTATCAACCTCCCTTTTTCATCTTTATGTCGCTACATAAAGCCTCCATCAAATTACTGTTGCCTTTGCAATAAAATCCATATTTTATTCAGGCAGTCAAGTTCTTCCAGCTATCGCTCTAATGTAACTTTTCAGTCTTACTGCCTCTATTCCTTGAAATGAACTGTCCACTTAGCCAGATTGATCTAGCCACTGTCCTGGGAACATCTCATTCACCTCCCTGCCATCCTTCAGACTTGGTGCAGGACTCACCTGCTCCGGGGAACCTTTCCTGAGCATTCATCAGGAATCAAGCATATCCTGTTCATTACTATCTTTTTTCCTTTATGTCTACACTTGATGATAACCTTTGAAATTCCACCCATGTCTAGTGGGGCACAGTGCCTTGCACGTAAAAAACACTAAATATTAGTTAATTAATTGGTTGTTGGGTAGGAGTGTAGACTATGCAGAGACCTGGATCATGGAAGTATATCTTGAGAGTTGAACTCTTTGCTGGAAGATGGAGACTATATTTTCCTTATCTTTTTATTTTGGGAGCCAAAGGCAGTATCTAGCATACAGTCATTCAGTTCTGCTCAGCAGTCCTGTGTCCACCCTGTGCCAGACACTGCGTCAGGTGCTGAGCTTCCATAAGCATTTGTAAATGAATGAGGGGTTTGGGAGTTATGCCTGTTTTCCAACTTCTCTTTGTCTGTCTTTCATGCAGGTGAATCATAGTGTTTCTGTGAATGACAGGCATTAAGAGAAGAGCCTGGTGCACAGCCTGAGATGTTTCCTCTCCAGGGTGGGTCTCTTCTCCAAACCAGGATTGCTTCCTTGATGTATCAGAAAAGCACCAGGTTGATCACAGCCTTTTTGGGCTCAGCATACAAGGGAAGCTTCATCCATGTGATAACCAAGAAGTGTCAACAAGAACAAAAAAGTCAGAAGAAACTGAGTCATCTTGGACCACCAAGTGAATCCTGGCAGGAAAGGTGAGGCCCGAACTGATGTCCTTAGCAAGTCCGAATCTCTGGACTGAATGAGATTCTATATTCCTGATGTAACTAACATGGCACTGAAAGGATTTGAGGACACTGAAGGTAGGATGCCCAGGGCAAACTTGAGACATCTGACGAGTGCTGGCAGATATGTTTTGGGATCACAGAAAATGTGCTTCTTGCCTTTAAGTGTGTTTTCAGAAAGGAGATAATAAACTGGGACTTTGTCTCTAAAATGTCCAGAGCAGGAATTCTGAAACTCAGGAACCTAGAGAGAGATTAGATGCATTAGAAATGAATAGTCCCATTGCAGCCTTGCAAACACAAATATACCTCATTTTATGCAGCAAATGTATTTTCTAAATCAAATTATACTTTAAAAGCATTAGGGAGGTGAGCTATTTAAAGGAACCCAACAGTGAAGTCTTTTGTAATATGATTAATTACCTCCTGATAAATCTGGATTTTTCTTATATTAGGTTTGCCCATCTGTTCTGCTTTGTTAAATAGACAGCACCAGAATGGGCTCTTCTCCCAGACTCTATCTCCCGAGGGGCATGAGGGTTAGGTCTTCTGAATGATAAGTAAAATGCTGGAGAAAATGGTGGCAGGAAGTACTTATGCAAAATAGGTGCTCAGTACATATTTATATAATGAATGAAGTGCCTGAATTATTTTATTCAAGGCTGGCTGATGTGGTGACACCACTTTGGAGGCTGAGCTATGAAGAACAACTGAAGGTAGGTGCCCAGCTTAAGCCCTTAGTCCTCCATTTCACCAGGTGAAAGGTGCTATCCTTATAGGAAGCTTGATTAGCTGCCTCTACCCAGATACCCCTACCCAGATGCCCCAGCAGGTCTTTAAACTCCATATGCTAATGAGTCTGAAAATTTTTTAAAGATTTATTTTTATTTATGTATGTAAAATATAAGAACTGGGGTGTAGGGGCCTCCCTAGTGGCACAAGGGGTTAAGCGTCAGCACTATGAAGCAATCTGCAGCTACTGCAGCACGAGTTCGATCCCAGGCCTGGGAGCTACCCACAAGGCACAGCAAACCTCTCCTGTCTCACCCACTGCTCCCCTCAGCAGTGTATTTCAGTCAGTCCCCCTGTTTTGCTCCCCACTCTGTCTCTGGTGAATCCTCTCACCCCCCTCCCACCTCTGGCCTGTACCCCAGTTCTTGTATACATAAATAAGTAAATCTTTAAAAAAAGAACTGAGGTGTAGGCCAGACGTGGGTGTCTCACCAGAGACAGAGAGGGGGGCAGGACAGGCAGATCTATTGAAATACACTGCTGAGGGGAGCAGGGGGAGAGACAGGAAAGGTCTGCTGCACCATGTGGGTTAGCTCCTTGGCTAGGGATCAAAGTCATGGTGTAGTGGTTGGTGATATAGCTTGATCGTACTGAGACTTTAACCCCTGCGCCACCAGGGAAGGCCCCCAAGTCTGCGAAATTTTAATTTCAGACCAGTTATGTGTTCTAAATTCTAGAGCCATATATCCAAATGCTTGTTTTCTTTCTTGCTTTTTGTGGCTCTTCTTATAGCTTTCTGTGTGTGAGTAGCAAGCGCTCTTGCTGCTTCATATAGAACTGCACCTTCTACCCTGGTAGCCACTAGCTGCATGTGGTTATTTAAATTGAAATGCAGTCGATTCGGCGATAATGCTTGTTTTGAAAACGGAAATTTGTTCCAATGGATTGACATATTAGGGAACAATTTGAACATAATGCAAATTTCACGTTTGCTTAGGAGTGATTTTGTCCTTGAGAAACACTGGATGAAAGAAAGAAACTGCACCCAGCTGAACTGAGCTGGATAAAAATACAGAAAATGAACAGGCACACACACCTCAAACATCTACCTGCTCATTCAGTTTGCTGTTTTGAGCTACACCCATTCACATCTGCTGCTAGAACGTTCTGTCCAACTCATGTAACCCTCCCTTTACTCCCTCGTGATTACTCATAAGTAGACAGCCACATCCATAAGCAAGCTTCAGGTCTTTGTCAGGGGAAAGTGCTATCCTTACCAAAGTTTTTGTTTCTTAACCACTTAATCTGTATAAAACTGTACTACTCAAAGTCCACAGTTTACATTAAGATTTACATTTCATTAAGATTTGAGTGAATATGATGTGTCAGTGTAAGTTCAATAGTTGTACGAATGTACCACTCTGGTGGGGATGTTGTTAGCGAGGGGATGTTGTATGCGTGTGTGGGGCAAGGATTTGTAAGAAATCTCTGTACATTGCACTTGATTTTTCTGTGCATCTAAAACTGCTCCAAAAATTAAGTCATTTGAAAAATCACACAAAAACAAATAAAAAATCTGCGACTCTGTTTTTGAGGCTATTACTCCTGTGAATAATGATAGCATAGGAAATACATATCCAGCATTCTGCCTTGATCATTTTCCTCTGCATTAAATTATTTAAGTGAAAAAAAAAAAAAACCTACTACCCTTTTCATTAGGTTCCTATCTTTTCTGAGTTTGTTACTCATATAATTTGGGAATGTGTGTGCCCTATCACCCTTTTCCCAGGAGCCCTGTGATTTCTTTGGTGCGGCTTTGCAGTGTGGTGAAGGAATGCAGATGTTGTTTTATAGCTGTGCTAACTCTGTAAGTTATTAACATTAAATAAGATGAAAAATTCAGTTCCTCAGTCGCCACAGCCACATTCAAGTGCTCTGTAGCCACATGTGGCTAGTAGCCGCCATGTTGCAGAGAACATCACACTGACACAGAACATTTCCATTATCTCAGCAAGTGCTGCTGGGCATCCCTGACATATAGCTTGTATGTTCACTAGCAAAGGTCAGATGAAGTGATGAGCTTACACAGGAGCTCATTCTTGGATTCCTTACCTGCTAGACCACAATCCAAGAATCTGTTGGACAATCTTTGCATACCCTGTTTGTTTCCTACTCTTTGAGGTGATACTGTAAAAGTAGTTTGCTACATTGCTGATTTTCTTTTGCAGGTGAAATTTGAAGCTCAGAAGAAGACTTTACAAAGGCTGGAGTCTTACCTCCAAATGCATTATGCAGTCAATGTGACCACAGATGCCCCCAGATCCCAGGGGCTCTGTTGTCTTCTCCATCCCATTATACCTTCTGTAAGCACCGCCCCCCCCCAGCCTTTATTTGCTATGTGTTCTTAATAGCTAAGTCATGAACATGCATCATTGTCTTGTTTACTGTTTACTGTCACCTTGAATGGTAGGCAGTCATTTCTCAGATGAAGATATGGAGGCTCAGAGAGATAAAGTAATTTAATTTGCCCAAGACTTCACATATAGAAAATGCCAGAGCAGATTCACACTAAGGTCTATCTGACCCGTTTCTTAGCTACTACACTACTACCTTTTTAGGAAGATTACAGACTTTGGAAATCGTCTAATGAGGCTTCAGAGAGGCAGAATTTAATTTATGGCTGAGGTTGGCAAACTATGGTCCCTAGACCAAATCTGTACTATCACTTATTTTATAAAGTTTTATTGGAACACACTGAACTCATTCTTTTATGGATTGTCTGTGGCTGCTTTTGCACTCCCACTGGCAGAGGCGAGTCCTTGCACAGAAACCATATGGCCTTCAAAGCCTAAAATAATTTACTCTCTGGCCACTTACTGAGAAAGTTTGCTTCCTCCTGCTTTATAGTAAGATGGTACCTTCTTCCTACTGTGTAATGTCTTGATCTTTACCTCCAAGGACTTTCACATATGCCAGACCTCCCAAGCAAGCACCATTTATTTGTCCTCATCCAGTCAACATTTTTACTCTCCTTATGTTCTTGTCCTACATGGTTTCATTTGACTTGTCCCTCTTCTGCCCTTCTGCCTTTTCCAGCCTGTCATCAATGGTTACCGAAATAAGTCTACCTTCTCTGTGAACAGAGGTCCAGATGGCAATCCAAAGACTGTGGGATACTACCTGGGAACTTGGAGAGGTGAGCTGAAGGCCATGACTAGTAGCAGTAACAAACCAAGAACTACGAGAATGGGGAGGGGTGCAGAGGATAGTGTCCATGGGAATGGAGAGGAGTGGAAAATACAGGAAAATAAAGGAGAAGATTGGATGGGAAGTCTTTATGCAGAGTATGATCACAGGGTTAATTCTGGAGACCTTTATGTGGTTAGTCATTGTAACATAGTGTTAGGGATCATAACCCTCGCCCTTTCTTCCTTTAAAAGCCTTATGCCTGAGCCCTAGTAAGCACTTAGTAAATATTGTTCTGCTGTGCTCTTTGATCATCATTGTTGTTGTCACCATTTTGTCCGTACTGGGAGTGGTTCTCCTTATTAGAGAGTTGCCTTTTTTATTTCTATTTCATATCCTCAGATCCCTCACAACTAGAACTTTTCTATGATAAATAAGCCTTAGAAGAATTTTTAGGGGAGGTGAGTGCTGATGAGAGAAATCTCGGTAGCATATATTTTTTTTTTTTTCGGTAGCATATTGCTAAAACTTAGTTCTAGTGTCCATTCCCAAATTCCATTCCTGAACTTTCCATTTGCCCATTTCCAATAAATCCACTTGAAACACCATCATTTTATATTAGTCACACTGTTTAATATCCATATGCCTTAAACTCCAGTTCATTAGGGCAGACGCTTTGGCTTTTTTCCCCCCTGTGTGCTGAACTGAATGGAGTATATGACGTCAGTGTTCTATTATTCAGTAACAGAAAAACAAAACCCATTATATTTTATTTCCTTCTTAAAATCTGAACCGAAAGCAGGCATTGTCATATTGTGCATTTGTGGCAGAAAGAAAATATTGAGGACTAGCTCCATTATGAGCAACCTTTTTAGTGCACAGAGCAGGAAACAGGTTTCCTCCAAAAAATGATCTTGAACTTGAATTAGGTATTTAGCTTCTTCATGTCTGCCCGTGTCTGTTTGAAAGAGGGAATCTGAGTGACCAGATATTTTTTAAATAATGTTTTAGGAAGAATAACCTCTTAGGAAGCAAGCCATATACATCAAAATCTTTTTCTTTCCATAGACCGAAACATTGTCTGTGTGCAGTCTAGTCATCTGAAAAACATTCCTGAGAAACACAATCAAGTGGCACAGGTAACAAGGAGCCAAAGGCTGACTGAGATGACCCAGGCATTGCTGTCTATGACAGCAGCATCCCTGACGTTTTAATAATAGAGCTGCTTTCAGTGGCAGAGGGGAGGAGGGCTCTGTTCAGAAAGCATACCTCTGAACGTGGAGAGAATATTACTAGTGTTTCATTTCAGGGGGGATGGAGAGGAGGAGGGAGAATTGCGGCCCTTGTTGGAAATGTCAGGCATCAGAGGAATTTAATGGAAGAGAAGTATTAGGAAAGAGAGGTACTGATAAGGGCAGTATAGCAAGTGGCAAGTGCCTGAAATACTTGATTTGAAAGGCTAGTATTTCGGCAGAACAGGACTGGGAAATATGGTGAGAGATGGAGTGGTGGTAAGGCATCTAGAGCATGAGTTTGGCCTCTGAGGCAGCTTTCTATTCTTCTACTGCACACGTCTACCGCTTGTTGGGTGGCTACTGTGTGGCAGGCAGTGTGCTAAGTGCTTTGGATCCAGTGGTGACTCAGACATGGTGCTGCCCTTGTGGAATTTAGAGGAAGAAAAGCAAAAGCCTTACTCGTGAGAATTGAACAGGACTCCCAACTGACACCCTTGTTCCTTGTTCATTCTTACTGCCACCTGCTCTCCTAATCATTCAGATTTCTGATACTTGGTTGATGCCTTATGATAGGACAAAACCTCCAAGTTCCCCCCTCTAGCACACAGCTTCCAGGATCATTCGCCAGAAATCTTCCTACATGGCCCTCATCATCTTCTGCCATCCTCTTCAGTCACTATTTGTTCTAAACTCTTCTCAGTTTTCCTACCCTATCACCTTTAAGCCCTTGCACTTAGCGCATGACTGTGCCTGCTTCTTTGTTGGAAAGTTAAGGCCATCAGATGAAAACTCCCTTAGCCACTTCTGCCACCATCTACCGATTTCACTGAAATCTTATCCCTCCCTCCCTCCTAGCTCAGTGAAAGAGGTGATTGCCACCCCTCCTCCCACCATCCAAGACTATATCCTTCCAGTTTGGACTCATTGCCTCCCTCCCTAGGAAACTTGTTCCTTCATTACACACTCTTTCTCTTGTTTCTTTACTTCTTTCCCACCTCCCCATCCCTGTCGGCTCTGTTGTTTTCAGTCCAAAACCATATAAAATATCTTCCATCTTTGAAAAAAATCTGATGGTTCTTGCTTCTGCCCCCAACACTCTATGGAAATTGATTTGGCCAAAGTCATCCATGACCTCCATTTTGCCAAATCCACCGGAAACTTTCTGTCCTTAACTTACTCAACTTTTCTCTGCCTGTGGTACACTTACTATTCTTATTTCACCACGTAAAACACTGTCTTTATTTGGTGTCTATGATATTCTCTAATCAATTTCCTCCCATTTCCCTGGCTATTTCTTCATCTTTTTCATGGTATCTTTTCCTTGTCTTCTTTCCTTCCAACTCAGTGTTGTGTCTCCCAGGACTGTTCCTGGACTTTTTTAATAACTTCATGGAAGGTTACACCCAACAATAAGGACTCCTAAACTTTATATTTGCATTCTGGCTCTCTCTTGAGCTTTGGAAGATGCATTTCGAAAAGTCTACTGAGCACCCTTAGCTAGCTCTCCTGGATAGTTCTGCAATTCAGCATTGCCCTTGATCAAGATTTCTCAGCCTACATAATATTGACATTTTGGGTTGGGTAAATTTTTGTTGTGTGGGGCTGTTAGATGCATTATAGAGTGTTCACCAGCCTCCCTGACTTCTATCCACTAGATGCCATTAAACCAAAATGTGTCCAGACATTGCCAGATAAATCTTGGGGTGGGAATGGGGGACACAATAGCCCTCAATTAAGAACCACTGTCCTAAACTAAACTTATCCTCTTCCCTTTCCAAATGTGCTTTTTCCCCTCACCTTAGTCAATGGTACCATGACATATTAGAAACACTTGACATTCTAGATTTCTCCTTCACAATCCCCCCTTTCCTCAACAGCCATATCTAATCAATCTCCAACTCCTGTTTTTGTTTTCTAAAAAATCTCTTGAATCCACCTTCTTCTGTTTCCAGGATGGACATGGTGCAGGTTTTCTATGATCCAGCAGACCGGGTAAAGGAGGAGTCAGAGTCCTCAGTGGTTTTTTGCAGGTTTTTATTGGGATTACCAGGTACACGGCAGGCAGGGGCACTGGGGGACCGGTAGGCTGGCAGGCCTCCCAGCCCCCAGCAGGTCTTCACTCTATCTGGGCTCTCCGGCCTTCTCTCTCGGCTTCTGTTCGTTCTCGGCTTCTCTTTCGGCTTCTGCTGGTGTCGCCGTGACGCCGCCCTTAAAAGCCCACTCAGCCCAGGTGAATCCCATCTACCCATGCCGACAGCTCATTCCAGGTGCCTGCCATCAGGCATGCATTCAGGACCGCAGGGATCCATCATCCATCCCAATGGCAGGAGGGCAGAAAAGCCTGACATTTCTCCTTACTGTACAGTCCACCCCCTCAGGGTTTTCTGCCATAAAGTCTTCATATATACAATTTTCTTAGCAAACATAAACAATGCAGCCATGGCCCACAAAAGCAAATACATCACAATATAACAACAAAATACAACAGAACACAAATACGTCCAGGCAGGGCACCAACCTAGTGGCAAAAGACAATTATTGGTACCAGCAGATGAGCCACCACATCTGCTGCTGAAGGCACTGCTCATACGAGGGAGGGGAACCACTCACGGCATCTACTGTAACACACCAGGAGCCGTCAGGCTTCCTGGCCTTCTCTGGCTGTGGTCTCGGCTACAAGGCACACACAGCATCCACCCCCAGGATGCACTAGCTCTGGGATTGGCAATTTTATTCTGTTGGGGGTAATCGCCAACCCTCAGGGTTTCTGTCTGCAGTCGCTCCAACACTCGGCCTTCATAGCCACCCATGCGACTCGCAGACCCCTGCACTCAGGCCAACCCACTGCACAAGCACATGGGTTGGGGATCCTTGGATCCAAACTCTGCATTTGGCTTGGGCTCCTCCCCAAGCCACGTTCCCCACCCGTCCCCCAAGGACTGGTTCCTCAGCTCCTCACCCTCACTCGACAACGAGCAGGGCATCACCCACAGGTGATTTTATGAGACTCACTGTCCTTCCTCAGCTTACTTGGTGTTTAACAGCCACTCAGGGCTTCCCAAACTTAGCATCAGCACCAGCTTTTGCCTTCTCAGTTGGCTTTTCTCCTCTGCCTAGCTGCTGGGCATAACAGGCTGCTTTTGGCCATCAAGGCCCACCGGCCACCCCCAGATTCTCAAAAAAACATAACCTGCCAAGGTCCTTCTCCCTCTGGCGGGATTATCAGTCCAAGTCCATTAGTCCAAGTCTGTTGGCCTCTCCTTGCATCAGCACTGGTGAGCTCCGAATCGTGGTTCTCTCTTCCGATGATTCTTGCTGCCTCAGGGGTCTTTGGCTGGTCCTCTCAGGCGTCTCTTCCTCCTCCTCCAGGCGAGGTCTTATCCCATAGCTCCCGGAACTTGTCCACCTTCTGTGCCGCCATGACTCTCCAGCGCGGTCACAGGCTCAGTCTGCTATTCCTTAGTCCCTACAGGTCTTCGGAGGGCTCCATACCCATCTGCATGGATCATCTTGCTGACTTACGCCAATTGTACAGGCAGGATGGACACGGTGCAGCTTTTCTATGATCCAGCAGACCGGGTAAAGGAGGAGTCAGAGTCCTCAGTGGTTTTTTGCAGGCTTTTATTAGGATTTTCCCGGTACACAGCAGGCAGGGGCGCTGGGGGGCCGGTAGGCTGGCAGGCCTCCCAGCCCCCAGCAGGTCTTCACTCTATCTGGGCTCTCTGGCCTTCTCTCTTGGCTTCTGTTCGTTCTCGGCTTCTCTTTCGGCTTCTGCTGGCGTCACCGTGATGCCGCCCTTAAAAGCCCACTCTCAGCCCAGGTGAATCCCATCTACCTATGCCCACACCCTATTCCAGGTGCCCGCCATCAGGCATGCATTCAGGACCGCAAGAATCCATTATCCATCCTGATGGCAGGAGGGCGGAAAAGCCTGACATTTCTCCCTACCGTACACACCACCATCATCACCATCACTGTAGTCCACGCTACCATCTTCTCGGCCGGAACCACTGCAGTAGTCTCCAAACTGCTCTTGCTGATCCCCACCCTGTACCTTGGTATATTCATTTCACTGCAGCCAAAGGCGTCCTTAAAATGTGAATAAGATCATCCTTCAAATTCTAAGGTGTTGCCCAGTAGCTTTTAGAATAAAAGTTAAATTCCTTCCCTCTGCAATTAAGGATCTTCATGATAGGTCCTCTAGCCTCATCTTCTGCATATCCTCACCTGCTTCCCTCTTTGTATTCATATTGAACTAGACTTACCCTGCCTGTCCATCTTACTCCTGCCTGAGGATGCCCTCTGTCTAGAATGCACCCAATCTTCTTCACCTGGCTTCTGTGTATGCGCCTAAGATTCATTTCAAGCGTCAGACCCTGGAGAAAACCTTCTCTAACTCCCTGAACTGGTTGGGGATTGTCCTCTGTACTCCTGTGGCTTCTCTCCCGTTGTAGCGCCTGTCATCCCAGACCGCATAGTTCAGTGCTGGCGCTTCCCACATGAGACTGTGAGGTAGCAGCTGTGCATTATTTAGCTCTGTAACCTAGCACTTAACACAGATCCATTTGTTCCTCAAATGTTCAGTGAATGATTACCTCTTTGCAATGTTTATCCAAGTTTCTAGCCCTTCCAGCTTTGGGTAGGCAAATTTCTACCCTCCACATCTATCCAGACAAATTCCTCCTTTTGTAAAAGGCATGCAAGATCTAAAATCCAATCAAGTAGGTAATAATAACAGCACCTTACATATATAGAGAGGGCACTGACTGTTCTCAGTTTTTTCATACCTTCATGTCCCTTTCTCTGTTACTAGTACTGACATTCTATTCCATTAAGATGACAGGCTAGGCGGGTCTCCCCGGTGGTGCAGCAGTTAAGCGCTGGGTTGCAAGGCTGCCCACAGCCTCTGCAGTGCTGGTTCGATCCCCGGCCACTGGGTGAGGGTCCCACATGGCGCAGCAGACCTCTCCTGCTGCGCCTGCTGCTCCCCTCAGCAGTGTGTTTCGTCAGTCTGCCTGTTCTGTTCCCTGCTCTGGCTCTGGTGAATTCTCTCACCCTCCTGAGCTTCTGACTGTACCCAGTGCTTATAAAAATAAATAAATAAATCTTAAAAAAAAAAAAGATGATAGGATAGGGGCCTCCCTGGTGGCACAGGTGGTTGAGCATCGCACTGTGAAGCTGTCCGCAGCCTCTGCAGCATGGGTTCGATCCCGGCTGGCCAGGGAGAATCCCACATGGCGCAGCAGACCTCTCCTGTCTCGCCTGCTGCTCCCCTCAGCAGTGTATTTCAGTAGATCTGCCTGATCTGTTCCCCGCTTTGTCTCTGGTGGATCCTCTCACCCTCCCGCACATCTGGCCTGTACCCCAGTTCTTGTATAAATAAATAAATCTTTAAAAAAAGATGATAGGATAACCTACTCTGCCCCAATTTGAGGTTTAAATATCTACTCTCGAGGCTTGAGTAAAAATGAGAATTTTATGGGAGTTGTCAGCTGGAGTGCCAAGATATAGGAAGAGATCTTTAAATATTATCCAAGAAATACAAATACTTAGTTGTAAAAGTCAAATAGTGCTAAAAACTTAGTAAAGAAAAATGGTAGTCCTCTGCCGCCCCTCCTCTCTTGAACCTTGCTCCCCAGAAACAATAACACTTATTTGTCCTGGTGTTCCATATTTCTAAATAGATTGACATATCTTGACTTATCAAATGTACATATTATATGTCAACTTCCACTTAGGATATATAAGAACATTTCCCTCTTACTTTGTTTCCCTTCCCAGACTATCCATCTCCTCATATATTTAAAGCATCATTTTTGGTTAAATTAATATTTAATATTTATATTTTTATAATGATAATCACTGCTGAGCCAAGTAGATGTACTAAGATGTCATTTCATTTATTATACATATTTCTTTCATTTTATATTATGGAAAATTACAAATATCTCAAAGTAGAGAATAGAATAATAAGCCCCATGTACCCATTACCCAAACTCAACAACCGTCAATGTCTGACCAATCTTGTTTTATCTATACTCTCACCTCCTTTCCACCAACCCCTTTGGATTAGTTTGGGCAAATCCCACAAATTGCATCATATAAAATGTAAATATGTCAGTGTGAACCCTAAAAGAAGGGACTTAATTTTTAAAACATATTCATTCCATTATCACACCTAGAAATAAACATTTCTCCCTTCATATCACCACGTATCCAATAAATGATCAGAACTGATGTCAATTTATCTCATAATGATTTGATTTTTATACTTGGTTTGTTCAAACCAGAATTCAGACAAGATGTTCAGTTTGCATTTGATTAACATGTTTTTCATGTTAAGTACCCTTACCTCTTAATTATTTTGCCTTTGCAACTTATTTTTTTATTTTTTAAGATTTATTTTATTTATTAATACATACAAGAGGTGGGGTGTAGGCCATTTGGAGCATTATTGGTGCCCTAGTGGTAGGCGAAATACTGTAACATACATCTGAAGAGGTGTGAATTTATCCCCATAAATCATACACAGCACTGTAAGCCAGTGTTAACCTCAAAAAAAAGCTACAAAAACAAAATTTATGGATTAAAACCAAAGTTTCTCATCAGCTTTCACCAACTGGTTTTAGCAACCATTGATGATCATTGCCTAGCTTTGTTGCTTCAGGAGGGCTGGCTGTGTGGTGGATTCTGTGTTGCCCATGCCTTTCTTTATTACCTGAGCTTCTTCTAAAAATAACTTTCCCTTACAACTATCAATATTTGGTTACTCTGAGGCACTCATACAAGAAAAGCAGAGTAAATCCTTAATTCTTTCACTTTCCTCAAAAGATGGTAATTGGGCCTCCTTGGTGGCGCAGGGGTTAAAATCTCAACACTATCAAGCTATCATCAGCCACTGTGGCCTGAGTTCAATCCTAGCCAGGGAGCTGACCCACATGGCACAGCAGACCTCTCCTGTCTTGCCCGCTGCTCCCTTCAGCAGCGTATTTCAGTCAGTCTGCCTTTTCGGCTCTCTGCTCTGTCTCTGGTGAATCCTCTCATTTCCCACAACTCTGGCCTACACCCCAGTTCTTGTATGCATAAATAAATAAAAATAAATCTTAAAAAAAGTGGTGAGTTAAATTTGTTCGTTTTGCTATTATAACCTTAACTCATGGATTTTTTGACATACATGATATGTTTCAATCCATGCAGATACGTTATTTTTGTCACTCAAATTGTTCCATTTTTGGCCAATTGAACTGCTTTCCATTGCTTCAGAGCCCTAGCTGACCCTGATAGTTCTAGAATGGTAAGATATTTCTAGCACTATCAATTCATTTTCTGCATGAGACCTGAACTTAGTCATTTTCGAGGAATTTTGTTCTCTTCTAGTGGAGAATGGTATTTGGAGGCCATGGTATGAGTGTGAGAGGGGTTTGCTTACACTGGATTGGTCATATGTCAAGCCCTTTTTAGTGGAACTAGAAAATATTTTCTTTTTAAGAGAAAATATGAATTTGTAGCGGTATATCCAAATCAAATTTTGAGTTACAGTTTACTTAAAATCATTTGATTTTATGTTTTTTATCCTGCCTCTTACAATGAAAATTTGAATCGTGACAGCATTAATGTAATTATATATTTTATTCTAATATGTTATTGTAATTATATAATATATATGTATTATAGAATTTCTGAAAAACAGTACTGATATTACTACTAATGATTACTGAAAAGATCTCAGGATTTCTGTTCAGTTCTTTCTTTTTGTCAAATTATTGTACCTTCTGAAATAATTCCTTTTTTTGTAATTAAGCCACTAATGTGATACTTGATACATAGTTCCTTTTTTTCATTTTGCTTGCTTTCAAATTTTAAGGATTGATTTTTTTCTTTTTCATTTCGATTTGATTTTGTTATATCATTTTGTGAAATAGTTGCTTGATTCCAAAGTCAAATCTACAAAATAAAGGTACATTCAGAGAGGTCTAGCTTTCACATTGGACCTTTCTACCCAGGTCCCTCCTTCCCATGGGTAATGATATTTATTCATTTTGCTTATTAAAAAATAAATGGAAGGAAACTTGCATCCTCCCCTTTTCTTAGCTAAAAGGTAGCTCAGTATAGACACTCTTCTGCATCACCTTTTTTTCCCCACATAGTAACATGCTGCTTTTTTTCATAGCTGTATAGTCCTATGTAGTATGCTGATTTCACAACTTTTGGTTTGACATGAATGTATACCTCATTTTTCTAATTGCTTAGCCTCTTATGAACCTACTGTTGATTATTTCCCCCACATGCTCTAAGACCTCTGTCAAACATTAATCAATATTCCCCATGAGCTAAGAGTTGAGTTCATTTTTTTTGCCCCAAATATCTTTTAGTTTTTTTTTTAATTTTTATTTATTTTTGAGGGCAGTTATTACTTAATGGGAACAGAGTTTCAGTTTTGCAAGGTGAAAACTTCTAGAGGCAGGTGGTGGTCACGTTTGTGTAGCAATTGTAAATGTACTTAGGGACACTGAGCTGTACAGTAAAAAATGGTTAAAATGGAAAAAAGTAAACCAACCCAAGAGACTAAGCCCTGAGCACAAGTGTAGAGGGTGGAGCAGGTTGAAACTGGTCCCTGAGGAAGGCAGAGTAGCGCCCCCCAGTGCTGGCTAGTCCTAATTTCCAGATGTGCATCACCACACCCCACCCACCCCATGAGCATCCATATCCCTTTATGATATACCATTGAGCTCCCTCCCCACTGTATTCCCACCCTTCCCTTTTCCCTTCTAGTGTCCTCAATTCTACAGTCATTTCTAGACTTTGTCTTGGTTTAGTTCTGTCAGTTCCTCAGTCCCTTTGTTTTGTTTCTTTCTTCCACAGATGAGTGAAATCATCTGATATTTGGCTTTCTCCTTCTGGCTTATTTCACTTAGCACAACCCGTCCAGTTCAATCCATGTTGCAAAGGGCAGGAATTCATCTTTTTTTAATAGCTGAATGGTATTCCATCATGACCATGTACCAGATCTTCTTAATGGAGACATTTTTGGTTGGAGACAGTTTTGGAGATGACTGAGCAGTACTGCTAGCATGTAGTGAGCAGAGGCCAAGGGTGTTTTTCAACATTCCACAATGAATGAGACAGCCTCCTCCAACAAAGAATGATCTGGCCACGGATGTCAATAGTATTCTGGCTGAAAAAACCCTGGAATTAAGACTTAAAGGAAGTGAGGGTGCCAGCCATGCGTAAGTCTGAGGGAGCAGCATTCTAGACTGAGAACAGACACTGTAAAAGATAGAAATGTGGCAAGCTTTTGGGAGGAACTGAAAGTAGGCCCAGATGAAGAGGACTTTTGGAGGTAAATGGTTAATGGGGGTCATGTCAGGTAGTACCTCTGGTCTGTACCCCAGTTATTGTATGCATAAATAAATAAATCTAAAAAAAGTTTCTTCCTCTTATAAGTCCACTGGTCAGATTGGACTGGGTCCCACCCTAAGGACCTTATTTTAAGTTAATTGTCTCTTTAAAGACCTTATGTCCAAATACGGTTACATTCTGAGGTACTAGGGGTTAAAGCTTAAACATGAATTGTCATCCAGCAGAAATAACTAGCTGTTGAACTTGTTCGTTTTCCCTCTGTAATGTTACTGTTTTCTTCCTAGTGCTATGAAGTACTCCTTCGACAGTCCCCAATGGAGCCCTGCCTTCAGTTTCATGAAGGTGGGTACTGGCGTGAGCTCACAGTGCGAACCAATAGCCAAGGGCACACAATGGCCATCATCACTTTCCATCCCCAGCAATTAAGGCAGGTGAGACCCACAGGCTGCTAAGGGGCAGCTTCTGTAGCCATCCTTACTACTCCTGTGCTGTGATTGTTTTGGGGAAGTTTCAGAGCAGAGAGCAGAAACTACACATAATATATTTGTGTGTGTCATCAATTAGGGTTGAGGGTAAGGAGAAGATGGCCAGGATACTCTTTAACCATGCTGTTAGCATAGTCAAACTGTAGGTGCAGGCTGGATTACCAAATTACCCTGTGAGGACTCAGAGTATTTTCACTAGAACTTTGCCCATGGAAATAGTAGGAACTTTGCCCATGGAAATCAGTGGGTGTTCTACTGAACCCAAATGCCATTAGAAACCAGAATATAGCCAGAGTTTCATAACCCAAATACTACTTTAGATTTGTAATGCAGTTAAGCTTTCAAACATTCCCATGTGAAAACATTCCTAATCTTAGATGATCATCTCAACCAATGTGTGACGTAGGCAGAAGATGGCGAGGTATTGTCACCCCCCGTTCCACAGATGAGCATGTGGAGGCATAGAAATACCCAAGGTAAAGAGCAGGTAAATAGCCAAGTTAGGACTTGAGCCCAGGTCGTTTTTAACTCTATAGCTTCAACTTAGTTTACTCTGGTATAGCCATGTCTCAAACTAATATTCAGGGTCTCTTAGTGATATAAGAATCTTAAAATGTTCTGAATGCAAAGGAAGGACTTAGTTGTTTTAGTGCTGATAGTTTTGTGTCCCAGGAAACCCCTGCATCCCAGGCACACGAAGATGGCAACCATCTTGGTTTAGAAAACCAATAGCTTAGACATGAAAATCAGCTGCCCCCTCAAAAAAACCATGCTCAAGTTTTGCTGCCAGGAAGTAGATTTAAAAAAAAAAAGGGGGCCTCCCTGGTGGCGCAGCGGTTGAGCTCTGGGTTGCGAAGCTGACCACAGCCTCTGCAGCTCCGGTTCAATCCCTGGCCACCGGATGAGGGTCCCACATGGCGCGCAGACCCCTCCTGCCGCTCGCTGCTCCCCTCAGCAGTGTATTTCGTCAATCTGTTCTGCTCTCCGCTCTGGCTCTGGTGAATTCTCTCACCCTTCCGCGCTTCTGACTGTGCCCAGTGCTTGTATAAATAAATAAATAAATAAATCTTTAAAAAAAAATGAACATTTCTATTTCCAGTTTCTCATCATAAACCTTTCTTCTCTAGGAACCACTGCATCTTATTATAGAATTCCAGAACATATAAAGAATTTCTTAAAATTTACTCTTAAGTGACCAATTCATGTTCCTCGTGTTTTTGTAATGATATCTGACAGTTTTTTTGCTATGTTAGTGGTTTTTCTTGAACCTTTTTAGAGTCTGAGCACTTTGATTAATTCATGTCACCAAATATGAAATCTGATATAAGGTATCATGTACATTTCACTGCTTCAGAGATGTTTTCTGCACTTTTCCCCCAACCTTCAGTGAGATGGCTGCAAGAAAGATCTGTTTCCTAAGAAAGATCTGATATTTCATGGAATAAAGAATGTCCTTAATGATCATTAATTATTTAGAGCGATGTAATTTATTGCTTTTTTCTTACTAAAGTATGGTCAAAAACAAAACAAAAATTGAGTTACCAGGATTATTTTCTTCCAGGGTCTCTCCTTTTTCCTGGGATTCAAATCTTGTGAGTGGTGTTGGAGTGGATGGTTGGGATATTTGAAGTGAAGACATTTGAAAGGAATTAAAAGGAATTGAATTGCTTCTTCTTGATGGGACAAAAGCTTAGTTTAGCTCCCATTTTCTTTTTCTTTTTTTTAAAATTTATTTATTTATTTATACAAGCACTGGGTACAGTCAGAAGCACGGGAGGATGAGAGAATTCACCAGAGACAGAGCGGGGAACAGAACAGGCAGACTGATGAAACACACTGCTGAGGGGAGCAGTGGGCACGGCAGAAGAGATCTGCGGCACCATGTGGGACCCTCGCCGGCAGCCGGGGATCAAACAGGCGCTGCACAGGCTGCGGGCAGCTTCGCAGCCCAGCACTCAACCACTGCGCCACCAGGGGAGGCCCTAGCTCCTGTTTTCAGCAACAGTAACTCTCACACTTTCTTTAGAGAACTATTAAAGAGTCTCCAACTAGAGAAAGTGCCACATCTATTGTATAGATTTTGTCAAAAGTCGATAAAGCAAAGCTATGCTTCTGCTAAGATATGAAAATAGCTTATTTTCCTTCTTTTTGGCCCTGCGGAATATTGCTTTATGTTAAGTGTTATTTATAATGGGATTTGAGAAATGTGCCTTGTTGTCTGACTTCTGCAGGGAGGATTACTTCTTGTCGCGGAAAGGAAATTTGTCAGAGATGAATCTTTGCTTGACACCTGATTTTGTGGTCTGGGCAGGAGGAGCTCTGTGTCCAGAAGGAGATTGTAAAGGAGTTTTTCACCAAAGGGCCAGGAGCAGTCTGTGACTTGACTTCACTTTACTTCCAGGAAAGGTAAGCCTGGGACAGCCAAACAAGTAGAATGTGTATGACTTGCCATATACTCGTATTCCTAATCCATGGTGTTAATGTGTTCCAGCTCAGTTACTTGTGGTCAGCTGTGGTGCAGAAATGTTCCATATAATGAGATATATTGGCAGGGAGGTAGTCATATTCATGTTTCATATGTTTTATTAAACATACGACATTTACTAGGACAATAGTCCCAAATGTTCTATTTTATTATTATTGTTGTGAATCTCTTAGCATGCCTAATTTATAAGTATGTGTGTATGCACAGGAAGATGCTGTACATATAGGGTTCAGTACTGTCTGCAGTTTTAGGCATCCACTGGTGGGTTTACAATGTACTCCCCACAGGTAAGGGATGCTGATCGTGGAGGATTTGGGTGAAGATGTTCTCGCCCCCCTACACTCTCTAGGACTGGGAAGCCAGGCCAGAATGTAGATGAAGGGACATGTTCATGTACCTCCAGCCCTGGGAGGTGACCTCCTTCAGAGCTGCCAGGGCCGTGGCAAAGAGGCTATATTTCCTAGTCTAGGTGCTGTGGCCTCTCCATCCGACTAGCTACTAGAGATAGCATGACCTGCCATTCCAAGATGCTTTCTTCTTCATTTTCTTCAAGCACCATGACCCGTTGTAGCCATCAGCAGTCCCCTTACCAGCTCCTATTTGGGGAACCCCACATCTTTGAAGATCTCCTGGGCTTGAAGATCCGCATCTCTCCAGATGCCTTTTTCCAAGTTAACACTGCTGGTGCAGAGATGCTGTATCAGACTGTGGGGGAACTGAGTGGCGTGGACTCCAACACCATCCTCCTTGACATCTGCTGTGGAACTGGCAAGTGGCAGCCCAAGTAGAATCTACATGACGATTAGCTCCCAAACACCATCTACTCAGTACCCAGGCCCCTGTAACCTAGGTGGGGAGGTGGTGGTAGTGGTGCAGGCATAAGCTTAATGGGTTAAAGCCCTAAAACACACTCTTCTTAGTCTGTCCTCCTTCCTCAGGTGTGATCGGCCTCTCTCTGGCTCAGCGCACGTCCCGAGTCCTTGGGGTTGAGTTGCTGGAGCAGGCAGTAGAGGATGCCAGGTGGTCCGCAGCCTTCAATGGTACAGTACTCACAGTGTGGGGAGGAGTTAAGAGCTGTAGTTTGTGCACTATGGAAAAGGTTCTGTGGAAAGAGTATCTACTGTGTCCACAACTTGTGGGGAGGAAGGGAAGAGGTTCTAGAGAGGTCACAGTTAAGACCTAATGGTTTTCTGAAAAACCAGAAACAATACACCCCGTCAACAATACATTTTTTTCCTATCCAGAAGAAGAGTTGAGGGATAGAACAAGCCTGCCTGATAGAAAGTAAACTTGGCAAAACTTTGGATAGTTTAGAAGACTCTTGAGGCATCATAACACAATGGAATAGGTTTCAAAATATTTTTAGCCACAGAACCTTTTCTTTGAATAAAATCTTTTTTTACTGAATTAAATTTTATTGATTCACTATTTGTTCACAAATCTGTAGACTTTAGGGGGCATCCTTCACCTCTTGACATGTGCACATGTTGAAGAAAATCTTATACTAAACTGCAGTGTGGAAAACAGGTCCTATTGTTCCCTGCATCTCATTTCCAGACAATTCTTTAAGCTCCAGGTGAAAACCTCTGCTATAGCAGAAGGAGCACTTGAGTAGTCAAGTTTCCCTTCTTGGAGTAGATACGCATGTGCTGTGTGAGTCACTAAGTTGTCAAATGACATTATCTGGTCTCTCCAGCTGAAAGACTTACTGACATATGCTAAGGGAAGGTGCGTTAGCAAATTTGAAGCAAGTCCACTGTAGTTCTTTAATTGTTTTTCAGAGATACACTAGATCTGAAGGGAAGATGGCTGTGCCCTGGTTCCTGGACATTTCTAGAAAGCTGAAGTTCCCTGCCACCTGCTTCTGGGCTTGAATTATGTCATGTGGTCATCTCTTCTGCAGGCATCACCAACTGTGAATTCCACACTGGTCGAGCAGAGAAGATTCTGCCACAAATACTCAAGTCCAAGGGTGACGGGCAGGTCATTACTGCTGTGGTGAACCCAGCCCGGGCTGGACTACGTAAGGATGAATGGCTTTCCTGCTGCAGAACTAGTGAGGCATTCCCCTAGTCCTTTGATGTCCACTAGCTTTGGTCCCTCATCCTCATACCTTGCTAAGAGTGCACCCAAAGGGCTGGCACTGAATATGCATCTCCTCTGTTCCTAATTTCAACCCCAACTGGTGCTGGCCAGTTGGGAGTTTGTGTTAACTCAGATCATGATAGCTCAGTGGTATGAATAGCTATGTGTCTCTTCCTTCAGATCACCGGGTGGTTCAAGCCATTCGAAACTGCAGGGCTATCCGCACACTAGTTTTTGTTTCCTGCAAGACCCATGGTGAAACCACAAGGAACATCATTGAGTAAGTCATGACTTGTTTTCTTAATTATTTTTTTCTGATTGGTAAGGTGATCCATGCTTATTGGATCATGCAGACAAGCATAAACAGAAAATTGTCACTATACTATCATCAAGAATCAGTTACAGAGCCAGGTCCCAAATAAAGCAAATTAGGCAATGCAGTTTGGGTACAGAATTTTAAGAGGATGCCCCAAATTGCCATAATCAGGATACGTTTTTTAATGTATTTTCAAAAAACAAAATGAACCCCCAAATATCCATGATGAACAAAATATTAAGTTTTTTTGAGAAGGTGAGATCCGTGCTGTACTTGCTAAACCCCATCTCATTCTCCTTATCTTAATCCTGGCCTGGTTCCCATAATACTTTATTAAAGTAGGCAGCCAGTACACAGACTGTAGTTTTCCAATTTGATTTTATAAAGTATTACATTGAACTATTTTTTTGATTACTTAGTTACTGAGTTCATTGGTACCCTCAAATTTTTCACCCAAGGCAGGATTGCTTCTTGCTCCCCTCTTGCTCTGGCCTTGGTCAATTATTTTGATTTTATTTTAAAGATTTATTTATTTATACAAGAACTGGGGTGCAGGTCAGAGGTACGGGAGGGTGAGAGAATTCACCAGAGACAGAGACAGAGCGGAGAGCAGAACAGGCAGATGGACCAAAGACATTGCTGAGGGGAATAGCAGGCGAGGCAGGAGAGATCTGCTGCGCCATGTGGGTTTCTCCCTGGCCATCGGGGAATCGAACCCACACTGCAGAAGCTGCGGACAGCTCCACAGTGCGGTGCTCAATCTGCTGCGCCACCGGGGAGGCCCAATTATTTTGATTTTTGAAGTTTTTTTTTTTTTTTTTATAGAGGCATGTTTTATTTATTTATTTATTTTGTTTGTTTGTTTTGTTTATACATGCACTGGGTACAGTCAGAAGCGCGGGAGGGTGAGAGAATTCACCAGAGCCAGAGCGGGGAGCAGAGCAGGCAGAAGGACCGAAGGACACTGCTGAGGGGAGCAGCGGGCGGCAGGAGAGGTCTGCGCGCCATATGGGACCCTCCTCCGGTGGCTGGGGAGCAGCCGGGGATCGAACCGGCGCCACAGTGGCTGCGGGCAGCTTCGCAACCCAGCGCTCAACCGCTGCGCCACCGGGGAGGCCCTGATTTTTGAAGTATTTTATTTTTGTTTCTCTTTCTCTCTCTATCCCTCTCCTGCTCTCACATGCACACACACATATTCCTTTTCTTTTTACGTGAGTAATAGAACTTATTTGTAATATTTAAATAATACAAGTGGGTATAAAGTATAGCTATAGCTAGATAAGTGAGAAATAAAAGTAAATGAATTGAGTTTTCATATCAGTGAGCTAGAAAAAGAATAATACACCTAAAGGAAACTGATGGATGAAGTCAATGTTTTTAAAAATTTGATAAATTAACTCCAAAATAAAAAGTAAACCTATAGACATGCCAATTAAACAAAGGAGATATTATTCGAAGAAAATAAACTAGATAAGCCTAATCAAGACTATAAAGGAGTAAAACACAAAGTCGTGAGAAAAAGAGCATAAGTACAGATAGGAATTTTGAGAAGTTTTGTAAAAATTATAAAAAAGTACTTTTTATAGCTCCTTTCCCAATACATTTGAAAACCTAAATGAAGTGGGTGATATTCTGGGAAACTGTAAATGACTAATATTAATTGCAGAAGCTATAGTAAACCTGAACAACCAGTAATGAAGAGAACAATGAGAAAATTGTGAAAGAGCTTCTCCCACCCAAAATAAAAAAGCTTGAGGTTCATATGTTTTTATAGTCTTATTTCCTTATCTCTTCTTATACGTATACTCTCCTAGTAGTCCTTTATCTTTATTTTACTGTTTAAGATTTTTTTTTTAATGTATGATAAAGGTGGCATCTTTGTGGGATCTTCAGTGGGGAAACAGTGTACTATCTAACAAATGCTGGTGGCAGAAGGCTCTTCAGAAACTTCTGGAAAAGATGACATACAATATCATTAAGGTTCACTATATTTTAAAAAAGCTTCCTTTGTTACATGATCACAGAAATTAATTCAATGGATCACAGAAGTAAATGTAAGAACTGAAGCATAATAGTAAATCTTTGTGACCGTGGCTTAGGTAAAGCCTTCTTAAGTATGACATCAAAAGCCCAATAAATAACAATATATATTATATATTTATATATAACACACGTCCAGATTGTGTGTGTGTGTTTGAACATCATCAAAATTGAAAAAACTTTTGTGCTACAAGTGATACCATCAAGAAAGTGAAAAGACAAACCATAGTGGGGAAAAATATTTGTAAATCATGCAAGGATTGGTATCTAGAAGCCAGACACAAATGGTCACATAGTGTATGATTTAGTTTGTAGGAAATGTCTACTAGACAAATCTCTACAAAGTAGATTAGTGTTGCCTGGCCCTGAGGTTGGAGGGTTTGGGGAGAAATTAGGAGTGACCACTAAGGGGTGGGTGATATCTTTTGGACTAATGAAAATATCCCCAAATTAATTTTTTGTGAAAGTCGCACAACTCTGTGAATATACTAAAAGCCACTGAACTGTATAGTATGTGAATTATATCTCAATAAAACAGATAAAAATAACTTGATGATAAAAAGTACCAATAACAGAGAGGAGACAGCATACAAAGTGGAAAAAAATTTTGCTGTTCATATCACAAAGAGTTTTTACTTAATTTATAATAAACTCTAGGAATCAATAAGAAAAACAATAGGCTAATAGAAAAATGAGAAGTTATGAAAAGAAAATATAAATTGTTTATGAACCACAAAAGGATGCCTTGGCTCGTCCATTTTCATTGAAAAGCAAATTTCAAGTACTCTGAGATACTGCTTTTTACATCTTAGATTGACAGATGTTCAAATTTGATAATGCATTGTTAGCCATACAATGGGCAAACATGAATTCTTTTTTTTTTTAAGATTTATTTATTTATTTATACAAGCACTGGGTACAGTCAGAAGCACGGGAGGGTGAGAGAATTCACCAGAGCCAGAGTGGGGAACAGAACAGGCAGACTGATGAAATACACTGCTGAGGGGGGTGGGGGCGGAGGGGAAGGATTGGGGTCAGAATGGGGCGTTTGAAATTGTATGGGGGAATATAAAAATAAAATTTATTATTTAAAAAAAAAAAAGAATTTAGAAAACCTAAATAAGGGACCAGGAAAAATACTAATCATGTAATCAGTTTTAAAAAAAAAAAAAAGAAAGAAATACACTGCTGAGGGTAGCAGCAGGTGCAGGAGAGGTCTGTCGTGCCATGTGGGACCCTCGCCATTGGCTGGGGATCGAACTGGTGCCGCAGAGGCTGCGGGCAGCTTTGCAGCCCGGCGCTCAACCTCTGTGCCACCAGGGGAGGCCCGGAAAACATGAATTCTAAAGATTTATAGGTCAGAGTGTAAATTGGTGCTATCCATATGGAGGGGCAATTTAGCAATACATTGTGTTGTCAGAAAAGTCATGACGTATTTTTTCTTTGAAAAACATAGAAAATTGCATCATGACTTTTCCAACAACCCAATAGATTAATACTATAAATGTATATATCCCCTTTGAGGCCCAGTATTTCCATTCCTGAGGCTTTATCCTACAAATCCTACAAATATACTGATGTGTAAAATGACATATATTCAGTTACTTATAGCAAATGAAATATCTTAAATATCCGTCCAGTGAAGAACTAGTTAAATTAACTGCTACATCTTTACGGTGGAATACTATACTTCTCTAAAAATGAAGAGAGAGAGAGTGAAGCCTGTGCATATGTTGGGGTATGAAATTGTACTCCAAAAATTCTGTTGTTTTATAAACAAATGGCAAAGGCATAAAATTGGATTTAAAAAAGAATGAAGATGTTCTCTCAGTACTGATATGGAAAGATTTCTAAGGTATCTTGTTTTTTAAATTTTTTATTGAAGTAACATTACATTATAACATTATATAGATTTCAGCTGTGCATCATGATAAATAAGCATCTGTATATACTACATTAAGTTTACCAGTAAAAGTCCAATTATGTCCTTCATACAGTTGACCTCTTTTACCTGATTGGGCTCACCCTATGTCCCTCCTCCCTTCTGGCAACCTAATTTGGTTTTAGAGTCTAAAGGTTTATTTTTGTTTAATCCCTTTATGTACGCACATATGAATGAAATCATATGTTTGTTTTGCTCTATCTGATTTATTCCACTAAGCATAATACGCTGTTGGTTCATCCATGTTGTTGCAAATGGCAGGATTTCATCTTTTTTAGAGCTGAAAAATGTTTTCCATTGTGTATATATATACTGCATCTTTATCCATTTATCCGATGATTGGTATGCTATATTTTAATACCAGCTTTATTGAGATATAGTTCACATAAAAAATTCACCCTCTTAAAGTTACAATTTGGTGGGTTTTGGTATGTTTTCAGGCTTACGTAGCCCTCATCATCTAATTACAGAATATTTTTATCACTCCAGGAAGAAACCCTGCACCTTTTAGCAGTCACTCTCCATTTTTCCACAATGCCCCTGGCCCTTGTCAACTACTAGTCCACTTTCTGTCTCTATAGATTTGGCTGTATAAATAGAATCTTAAAGTATGTGGTTCTTTGCATCTGGCTTCTTTCATTTAGCATGTTCTTTGCAAGCTTCATCTGTGTTGTAGCATGTAGCAGTAATTGATTCCTTTTGTGGTCAAATAATATTCTTCTTTTTAAAAGATTTGTTTTTATTTATTAACGCATACAAGAACTGGGGTGTAGGCCAGAGATGCGAGGAGAGGGTGAGATGATTCACCAGAGACAGAGTGGGGAGCAGGACAGGCAGAGCTACTAAAATATACTGCCGAGGGGAGCAGCAGGTGAGATAGTAGAGGTCTGCTGTGCCATGTGGGTTAGCTCCCTGGACTAGGATGGGATCGTCATGCTGCAGTGGCTGGTGATAGCTTGATAATTCTGAGACTTAACCCTTGCACCACCAGGGAGGCCCCTCAAATAATATTCTATTGTTTGGGTATACCATAAATTTTTTTTATCTACCAATTGGTTGCACAAGTTTTTGTGTGGACGTCTGTTTTCATTTCTTTTGTCTATACCCAGTAGTGAAATTGTTGGGTCATATGGTAACACTGTTTTAACCTTTTAAAGAATTGCCAGACTGTTCCTGAAAACTATTCCAATGAGATTGCCCAATTTCCTCTTCCCACAAGTGTATGAGGGTGCATTTTCTCCACATTCTTACCAACATTTGTTATTATCTGTTTTTTTTTTCCTTGTATCCATTTTAGTGTGTGTGAAGTGATATATCTCTGTGGTTTTGATTTGCATTTCTCTAATGACTAACAATGTTGAGCATGTTTCCATGTGCTCATTGGCTATTTGTATATCCTTTATGGAGAATTGTCTATTCAGATCCTTTAACCACCTTTTAATTGGGTTTTCTTTTTATTACTGATTTTTAAGACTTCTTTATATATTCTAGATATAAGTCCCTTATGAGATACATGATTTGTAAAATTTTTCTCCCATTCTGTGAGTTCTCTTTAGCTTCTTGATGGTGCCCTTTGAAACAGAAGAATATTTAATTTCAAGGATGTCCAGACTATTTTTTTTATGGCTTGTAATTTTGATTGTAAGGTATGTTACTAAATGGAATCAGCAAGGTGTACAGGACTGTTTATGTAACAGTAAAGTATCTTTGTTTAAAAAAAGGAAAAGGAAAAGAACACATGCATCTATGTACATATATGTATCTATGTGTGTATGAGTGTATGTATATAAATGTATATATACAGAGTGAGAGAGAAACTGGCAAGTTCTATAAGAAACTGCAAACAGTAGCTATGTCTGATTGGGGAGAATGCAGGGACAGGAGTCATGGGTGGGAAGGAGACTTCACTGCATACTTTTTAATATTTCTTCTTGAGTAAAATGAAAATAATCATTATGAGAAACGATAAATTAAAATGCAATGATTAACAATAAACCAAGGATTTTGCTAACATTCATATTGTATAAAAACATGGCTTTAAAAGAGGCAAAATAATGAGCAAAGATGTAAAATAATGATAGTTCAACAAAAAATATATTTTTTTTGGCGAGACAAATATATTTTGAAAAGACAGTATGTGCATATGGTAGGAAAAAATTCAAATATGAAAGAGTAGGAAGCGAAAATGAATCTTATTCCTGACCTGTAATCCTTTAGATGTCACCACTTTTACCTGATTCTTACATAGCCCACCAGAGATATCCTGTGACAATACGTGTGTACATGTATGTGTGCATACCATTCTTTTCTCATTTTTTTAAACAAATAGAAATGGACTATAAACTCTGTTCTGTACCATGCTTTCCACTGAATGATTGATTGTAGAGATTGTTCTGTGATGATATGGAATCTGCAAAAGAAGTATAGGTCTACTCATTTTTTAAATAGGTTATATAGTTTTAACTTATGTCATTTAACTTGTCCATTGCTAATGAATTTTTTAATTCATTTTTTAAAGATTTATTTATTCATGCATACAAGAACCGGGCCAGATGTGTGGGAGGGTGAGAGGATTCACCAGAGACAGAGTGGGGAACAGAACAGGCAGACTGACTGAAATACACTGCTGAGGGGAGCAGCCGGTGAGACAGGAGAGGTCTGCTGTACCATGTAGGTATCTCGCCAGCCGGCTGGGATCGAACCTGCACTGCAGAGGCTGCAGACAGCTTCACAGCACTGCGCTCAACCACCTGTGCCACCAGGGGAGGCCCTATTGCTAATGAATTTAAGGTTGTTTTTTCTACTCTGTTACCACACTGTTGCTGTGAATATCCTTGTATACATATCTTTGCACATATGTGTATATATTAAATACCCACTGTGGAGTTGGAGCAAAGCATCTATACTCTTAATGTTTTCATGTATTTTCTAACAGATCTAGAATGAACTTATCAAAAATACCCTTTTGGGACTGTGACTGGAAGTACACTGAATTTACTAATTTAGGGAGAATTGAAATTTTTACAGTGTTTTTCTGTTCATGGGATTACCAGGTACACGGCAGGCAGGGGTGCTGGGGGGCCCGGAGGCTGGCAGGTCTCCCAGCCCCCAGCAAGTCTTCACTCTATCTGGGCTCTCCGGCCTTCTCTGCTTCTCTCTCGGCTTCTGCTACTTCTTTCTCGGCTTCTCTTTCGGCTTCTGCTGCTGCTGGCGTCCCTGTGACGCCGCCCTTAAAAGTCCAGTCTCTCAGCCCAGGTGTACCCACTCCAGGTGCCCGCCATCAGGCATGCATTCAGGACCACAGGGTTCCCTCATCTATCCTAATGGCGGGAGGGCAGAAAAGCCTGATACCTTTTACCTACCCTACACCATGTTATGTTTATTTAATGAAATACCACATTGTCAATAAAGGCGAGGTGGCTTTGCATATAATATAGATGCTCATAATGAATATTGTTAACTGATGAAACTGACTGTAAGGTAGCATGTACAATATGTATAGCGTGACTCCATTTTTAAAAGCCCACTTAAATGTACATGTCCAGAAAAGTTAGCGGTGGCGATCCTTCTCTGAGTATTAAGTTTACAGGTCATCCTCTGCGCTCATTTTTGCGTGGCTACCTTGAAATAAGGGGAAAAAGTAATCTCTTTTGAAAAAGTTCAACAGAATACATTTAACTCAGTAATATTCATTTCTTATCTTCTGGGCGCAAATCACAGAGAAAAGTATATGACATAAGCTCATTGCTCCAATCACCATGGAACCCCTATTCTGGGGCACACACTGGGAACACAGAGATGAATAACAAGCAATTTCTGCCTCATTTCTTTGCTCAAAAAATGATACGCCAGTAAGAAAGGTGGTGAAAAAGAACCTAGGTAGTTATATTAAGTAGGATGCTGTTATAGAGCACATCAGAGGAGACTGTGGGAACATGGAGAAAGGGCTTCAATTTAAGAAATTGTGTTCCCATACGTTGTCCTTGGTTTCTCAGAAATGATATTTTGATCTGTCTCTACAGGCTGTGCTGTCCTTCAAACTCTACTAAGAAGCTTCTAGGCGAGCCTTTCATACTGAGACAAGCTGTGCCTGTGGATCTGTTCCCCCACACTCCACACTGTGAACTGGTGCTCCTCTTCACTCGATAAGCAACCTCCTACAAGGCTTCAGGCTCTTTGTTCAGGCTGAAGTTTCAGTAAATCCCAGGTCTGGCATATTGCTACTCTGCAGACCCTGAGAGCATTGCCTGGGAAACCAGTCTTTGGATCACGAGCAGAAAGAATATAGTAGGCTATTTTAAGCGAGTTTCTAATCTTAGTTTTCACGTTCCCTTGCTTTCATGTGTGTTTCCCTGGTTTGCACCACTACTTGGCCCTGGATCTAGACGGCTTCTTTCTTTTGCTATCAACTTATTGTGCCCTTGGTCCTAGTTTATTGTCTTACCTTTCTGACTCTGCCTGTGCTGGGCTGACAACAGAGCTTTCCTCACCAGCTGGTAATACTTTCGCATGGATTAGGATCTCCATATTTGCCCAGAGATTTTACTAGAGCTGTTCCCAGTTCATGAGGTAGCCAAGGGTTGGAACTAGAAACAAGTTTAGCTGTTTAAATTGGCAGAATAAGCTATAAAGTGATTGCAGGTGACTCTGTGAGCACAGTAGAGCTTTATTCCTTTGGGCTTTTGAGACTTTGAGGCTTCTAGAATCTCCTTTAAAAAGTAGTTACTCCGGGCCTCCCCGGTGGCGCAGCGGTTGAGCGCTGGGTTGCGAAGCTGCCCGCGGCCTCTGCGGCGCCGGTTCGATCCCCAGCTGCTCCCCGGCCACCGGCGGAGGATCCCACATGGTGCGCAGACCTCTCCTGCCACCCGCTGCTCCCCTCAGCAGTGTACTTCGGTCCTTCTGCCTGCTCTGCTCCCCGCTCTGGCTCTGGTGAATTCTCTCACCCTCCCGTGCTTCTGACTGTACCCAGTGCATGTATAAACAAAACAAACAAACAAACAAAATAAATAAATAAAACATGCCTCTATAAAATAAATAAAAAAAAAAAAAAAAGTAGTTACTCCTAGGAGCAGTAGCACCAATTAACTCTCACTCGAGGAAGGAGGATTAATCATAGGAAAGAACCTATGGGAAAGTAGATATTCAAAGAAGAGACCGAATGCCTGTAATTGTGCTGTGTGGTGTGGAGGCAGAAATCTCCAGAACCCTATAATGGTCCAGTATATACTATAATAAACTGCATATTGAAACTGGCATTCTCTGGTCCATGATTTCTTTGAATCCAGAGTTGTTCTTGGACACTTGCCCAGCTGTTTAACTTGTTTTGACTGTTTTAACAGGCTAAGGACATGCAATTCAGCAAGTATTGTCTGATTTACAAAATATTAGGTCAACTAGTATGTTTAATTCTTTTCAATCATAAATACTTACAGAGAAGCTTCCTTCTAAGAAAAATATGGCTGTTAAAACTACTATATAAATACCCATTTTAAAAAAGACTGGAAGGGAATCATCTAAAGTGCTAAAAGTGTGGATGTATGGTGGGCAGATAGCTTTTATACCCATTTGTCTATTTTTCATTTTAAATAACAGGCTTATATTGTTTTTATATATTAAAAATTCTTAATTTTTTTTCCTCTTCCTTTGTTCCCCATATCTCTAAAAGGCAATCCCATCTATCGATATTAGTTATTTGAGCAGGAAACCAGTGTTATCATTCCTAGTCCAACTGCCTACGAGGTGGTCTCCACCTGGGTATCTCCTAGGTACTCTAAACTCAACATATCTGATGTTGAATGCTTCATCTCTTTCCCCCAAACTGTTCTTCCTCCTATATTCCTAATCTTGATGAATATCCTAATCTACTCAGCCTCCAAAAGCTGGTAATTATTTCTGAGTCCTTCTCCTATACCTCCTACTTCCACCCATTGTATGTTGTCTCTTACCAAATTATTACTGGAAGGACTGTCTTCCCAATGGATGCTGCTTGGATCTACTTTTACTCCCATCGATTCCATTCTCTATAGCCAGGGTGAGTTTTCTAAAATGCCACTCTAGTGTTGTTTCTCCAGTGCTTAAAATCTGTTTGTCATTGACCTCCTGCTTTCCAAATTCCCCCTTCATAATCTGGGCAACCTCATTTCCCTGTCCACATAGAATTCCTTTCCCTCGAAAGGACAGCTCTCTTATGTCCTTCTGGTCTTTTTCACAGTCTGTTTCTCCACTTGGAATGTTCTTTTTCTTCCCTCTGCTCACTAATTTTACTCATCTTTCTGTTTTTTTTTTTCTTTTTTTATAGAGGCATGTTTTATTTATTTATTTGTTTGTTCGTTTGTTTCGTTTATACATGCACTGGGTACAGTCAGAAGCGCGGGAGGGTGAGAGAATTCACCAGAGCCAGAGCAGGGAGCAGAGCAGGCAGAAGGACTGAAGTACACTGCTGAGGGGAGCAGCGGGCGGCAGGAGAGGTCTGCGCACCATGTGGGACCCTCCTCTGGTGGCCGGGGAGCAGCCGGGAATCGAACCAGCGCTGCAGAGTCTGCGGGCAGCTTCGCAACCCAGCGCTCAACCGCTGCGCCACCGGGGAGGCCCTCATCTTTCTGTTTTTAAGAAATGTCTAGTGAATAGAGGAGTGAGTATGGATATTTGGCTTCCTGATAATTCAGCTAGTGTAACATCCTGCAAATAAGGTGATTTTTACTTTTTAAGAATTGATTATCATCGTTTTAAAATAATACATAAATTTCAGGAGTATAGTGCAATACCTCGATAAACATATACACCACATTCCACCTACCACCAAAGTTCTAGTACCACTCACCATTATCAAATTGACCCCCTCTACCCATTCCTCACTCCTTCAACCCCACACCCTCTAGTCACCACTATCTTATTGTCAGAGTCTAAGAATTGTTTTTGTATTTTTAGTTTGCTTTGTTTCTTTATATTCCACATATGAATGAAACCATCCTATATTTGTCTTTCTCTTTCTGACTTAGTTTGCTTACCATAATCACCTCAAGCTCCATCGATGTTGTCCCAAAAGGAAAGATTTTATCTTTTTTAATAGCTGCGTGGTATTCCATTGAGTATATATATATATATCACCACTTCTTTATCCAGTCTTCTGTTTTTCCCATGTCTTGGCTATTGTGAATAGTGCTATAATGAACATAGGAGTGCAGATATCTTTTCAAATTAGTGTTTTTGTATTCTTCAGATACATACCTAGAGGTAGAATTACTGCAACTAATAGTAGTTCTAGTTTTAATTTTGGGTGGAACATCCACACTGTCTTTCATAGGGGTTGCACCAAGTTACATTCCCACCAACAGTGTACAAGAGTTCCTTTTTCTCCATGCCCTCGCCAACACTTGTGGTTTCTAGTCTTTTTATTACAGGCCATTCTCACAGATGTGAGGAAGATATTTGCATATCACATTCAACATGGTATTAATATCCAAAATATATAAAGAACTCATAGAACTCAACAACAAAAGAACAAACTACCCAATCAAAAAAATGGGCAGAAGATATGAATAGACAGATCTCCAAAGAAGACATACAGGTGGCCACTAGGCACATTTAAAAAAGGCTCAGTATCTTATTATTAGGGAAGTGCAAATCAAAATAAGAATTTTAGGGCCTCCCTGGTGGCACAGTGGTTGAGCGCTGGGTTGCGAAGGTGCCTGCAGCCTCTGCAGCGCCAGTTTGATCCCCGGCCGCCGGGCGAGGGTCCCACATGGAGCGCAGACCTCTCCTGCTGCCCGCTGCTCCCCTCAGCAGTGTATCGTCAGTCTGCCTGTTCTGTTTCCCGCTCTGGCTCTGGTGAATTCGCTCACCCTCCCGTGCTTCTGACTGTACCCAGTGCTTGTATAAATAAATACATAAATCTTAAAAAAAAATAAGAATTTTAGAACAATGCTGTCATTTTTGTTATGAACACTTTCACACAGGAAAGTTGAAAGAGCAGTTCAATGAACACTGGTACATCAACCACCAAGATTCAACAAATGTTAACATTTTGCCATTTTGCTTTACCTCTATGTGTTTATGTTCTTTGATAAATCATGTGAAAGTAAGTTGTGGCATCTAACACTTCACCTTTAGATACCAAGGCATACATCTTTTAAGCATAAGGACATTTTTCTACATAACTATAAGCCCACATAAGAGAATTAGCAGTACCTCCAGTGAGGTCATCTATATATATAGCCCAAATGCTTCCTGAAGTGTGTTCTGCAGACTGCCTTGGGATCCACAGGGAGATAAGGAACTTGCACCAGAGTGTGTATCAGTGCACCATGCCCTTATCAAGAGAGTCTTGCTTCTCAGGCACTTTCACTCATGTGGAATATATAGAAGAAAAAGGAACTGACAAAACAAAACTAAAACAAACCCTGGAAATATGACTGCAGAATTGAGGGAGGGTGGAAGTGGAAACAAAGTGTGGAGGAGGCCCAATGGCTTAGGGTAAAGGACTATACTTTGATGGTGGGGGTGGTTGGGTGACACACATCTGAGGAGGTGTGAACCTATGTTCCTCAATAGTGTACAGTGTCGGGGCCTCCCCGGTGGCACAGCGGTTGAGCGCTGGGTTGCGAAGCTGCCCGCAGCCTCTGCAGCACTGGTTCGTTTCCCGGCTGCTCCCCGGCCACCAGAGGAGGGTCCCACATGGCGTGCAGACCTCTCCTGCCGCCCACTGCTCCCCTCAGCAGTGTACCTCGGTCCTTCTGCCTGCTCTGCTCCCCCCTCTGGCTCTGGTGAATTCTCTCACCCTCCCGCGCTTCTGACTGTACCCAGTGCTTTTATAAATAAAAATAAATCTTAAAAAAAATAGTGGACAGTGTTGTAAATCAATGTTACCTCAATAAAGGGGGGAAAAGGGAGCCTAATTAAACAGTGCCGTGGCATAGTTCATTTACATTTATGGACTTGACTGAGGAACACTGATCTATACACAGATTTCTCCAGCTGTCCCCTAAATGTCTTTTATGGCCTGTTTTCATGTTGCATTTGGTCATTGTATCTCTTTTATTCTAGAACAGTCTCCCCACTTTTATCTCATGCCACTGCATTTTAGAGACCAGGTCTACCCCACATCATGTATCTGTCTGATTTTAGGTTGACCAACCTGGGACGCTGCTGACCCTGCATCTTGGGATGCCCCTCAATCCTGGACAAACCAGGATGGTTTTGTGCATGATGGCGATACTGAGCTACTTCAAGCCACTGAATTTCCTTTCAACTGGCCGATGGGTCTTAGAGACTATTAGATTCAGATTAAACCATTTTTTGACAGCAATGCTTTTGGTCACATCCCACCAAGAGGTGTGTCGTGTCTGCTGTCCACTCTTAGTAAAGGCAGTGATTAAGGTGATTGCCCTTAGAACTCCTCATGTAATTTTCTCCTTATAATTAACAAGAAATCAGGAGGGGGAGGGTTACTTTGGTACCAGGTGACTACCCTGGTGCCTAATAACCTCTCACCTACAGATTTCAGCAGTCATCGATTACTGTTTCCTGACTTAGTAATTTTTCTCATAGGAAATGAACCAAAAAGGAGAGGTAAAAGCCTAAGCCTTTGCCCTTGACTGCCAATGTTCAGACCAAGAGGTTAATGTCATACTTCTGGTAATAGCAAACTAATTTTTTAATATCATTCAATTCAATGTTTTTATTAAATTCGATGTTCTACATTCAGTTCAGCCATTTTCATTATAATATCCAAATTTTCTTCACAT